CTCCTTTGCATACTTCCAGGGCAGTCCGACGAATTTTGTGGCCTAAAGTCAAATTTTATGAGGGGCCTTAATTTTTTTTTTAATTATTATTTTTCAATTTGAAGTTCATTTTTCTAGTTTTTTAGATGGCAAAGTTATTAATAATTTTTTTATAATCAATATTTTTTAATAATTCTTTCTCAAGACAATATAGTTAATCCATTTAACCTCTTTTTAGATATTATTGAGCTTAGTTAAGATTTTATCAATTTTAATTTCAAGAAACTTCTTTCTGCTGAAGTAACGGTAACATGAGTTATTACCATGATTCTATAAGCAATATAGGCCTTGGAAAAGAAACAAATCTTTTTATTTGATTGAGTATATCAATTAAACTGTTATCTTCTAATTGTACTATTTTTCTTAATACTTTTAGTTTAGAAAATAAATCTAAACCATCAATATCATATCGATTATTATGCTTCAAGGAACACTCAAAGTTAAGATAGTATTTTTCCAAATTTCTATCATATAGTGATCTTAATTTTTTACGCTAAATTAAAAATAAAAAGTACTTTCATATGCTTCAAATTGTTCAAATATATTTTGAAGTGGAAAAATAGTCTTGTCTACTATGTATAAAAAGTAATTAACTTTGAAAGACTCTTTGAGAGATTTTTAGATTTCAATATCAATACTCTCGTCAAACTATTATTTTTTATATATCACATGTTTCTTACGAAATTCGGATTTGATTTTCATTTCAGATGTAATTTCCTTGGCAGAAATCATACCATTGTAAATCTTTTTACCCCTTAAGCTTTTAAGACCACAAATTTTAAAAGTTTTTTTTTCTTCTTAAATTTCATGATGAGTCAAACGACCTCATCTAAATTGAAACAATGAAGAATATAATATATTAGGTGTAACAAAAAATATAGCCCTCATAAAAGTGGGGCCTAAAGCAGTTGCCTTACCGGCTTGGCCGCCCCTGCATACATCTTAGGGAAAAAGGTTAAATTTGCCCCACTACTTTAGTAAATTATTTACGTTTATACCTAATTCTACTATCGATCCAAATAAATCTCTACCATTAAGAAAGTAAACAAAAATACCCTCAATTCTAACGGCAGTCCACTATGGCAAAGGACCCCTTTAACAAAAAGTGCCACGTAATTAATAACCCACCCCTTACCTTTCTTTCTTAATATTTCTTTTTTCATTCTAAATATTTATTTATTACCTTTTCTCTTTTTTCTCTCTCTTCAGAATCACTCCCTTGCCCTCCACCATTCACCAGAAAAAATGGCCTCTCTCCTTTAGCTGTTGCCGGCGCCGGCGAGATCAACCGACCCGCTACCCTCTAGAAAATAATATCTTTCTCCCTCCTACTATATCCTCCGGCGACCTACCAAAAAGTATCCGCCACCACTAAAAATGAGATCCATCTGAACACCACCGGAAGTCGACGAACCACTGGCCCGAAATATGGTAGATCGAGAAAACACACGTAGATCTTTACAAAAATCAGAAAGACGGGATGTGCGTTTGGACTGTGATTTGAACGTTTGAACTGTGATTTACTTGTTCATTTACTGTTGCTTCTTCGAAGCTCCGAAATCAAAAAAATCTTGTTCATTTACTGTACATAATCAGAAAGACGGGATTTACAAAATCAGAAAAAGCTTGTTCATTTACTGTTGCTTCTTCGAAGCTCCGATTCCGGCCCCCTGTGGTTGTGCGTTTTGGCCAGTGAACTTTTGTCAACTTTGTTTCACTTGATTATCATGGTTGAAAATTTATCTACTTTATGTTGGTTTATAGCATTTTTTTTCACACTATTTTGTTGGTTTATTTCTTATTGGATATAGTTGATTTGAATAATACTACATAATTTATTAACCAAATTAATTGAAAGAGCAAGCAATTTCAAATGTTAAGGTTGCTAACGGTGGAGGCAAGGGATTCAGGTGTTAGGGGGTAGGGTAGGGGGGGGGGGGAAGAGAAATAGAAGATAAGGAAAAAGAATGAAAATTTAGAAACATTTAATTACGTGGCAAATTATTTAATTACGTGGCACTTTTTGTTAAAGGGGTCCTTTGACAGACTGCCGTTAGAATTGAGTGTATTTTTGTTTACTTTCTTAACGTAGGGACTTATTTGAACCGATAGTAGAATTAGGTATAAACGTGAATAATTTACTAAAGTAGAGGGATAAATTTAACCTTTTTTCCTACATCTTATATATGATTATTTGATGATATAGGACGTTTATGACTCAATTTTTTTCTGCACGTGTAAACCGCAGAGTTCACACGTGGATTTTGATGCAGACTCATGAACAGTAACAACGGTTTTCCCGAAAATTGATTTTGCTATTATGTGAAATAATCTGAACATATAATTTAAGAATTTATAGGGTATCGTTTTTTTTAAATCTTTTTTTTATAAATAACTTTATGTTGTATGCAGGGGCGGCCAGACCCTATAGGCCCTAAAAATTTAAGGGTCCCAAAATTATTATTTTTTTATATATAGTAGTATATTATTTATATAATTTATTTTTATTATTGATAAATTTATTTCTTTATTGTCATATCAATTTTTAATAGCTCAATTTCTTCCACTAATTAATATAACCAAAAAAGTTTCTATCAATCTTATTTACGTTTCTACTGAATTATATTTCTCTATTCATTAGTTAGTCACGTAAGGATATTTAATAATCTAACTTATCATTTATTTTACTTACGTAAATTATACTCTCTCCGTCCCAATTTATATGATAGTGTTTGACTGGACATGGAATTTATAAAATAAAGGAAGAATTTTGAAACTTGTAATCTAAAATAAGTCATAGAAATTTGTGGGCTAGAAATCATCTCATTAAGGATAAAAAGGAAAATCTAAAGTTGAATTGTTACCAAATATAGGAAGGGGGCTGACTAAAAAAAAGGAGTCACATAAGTTGGGACGGAGGAAGTATGTTTTTTGGGTTCTCCCATTTCAGTTATGATCCAATCAACATTAAATTCATTCAATTTTTTTACTTTATAAAACCAAGTTCTCATTTTTTTTCATTTCACATTCTGGTTTGTCTAATTTTTCAAAAAATTATGCCTCAATTATTTATATAATATATTATATATATATATATATATATATATATATATATATATATAATATATATATATATATATATATATATATATATGAGCGGGCATCTTATTAAGGCTTTACTTTAGGCCTCGAATGTTGTTGGGTCGCCTCTGATTGCATGCGGTATATAAACACAACATAACTATTGATAAAACAATCCTATACAGATTTTTTTTTTTGGATTGTTTTGATTCTTAAATTTGCCATTTGCTGCCTCTTGGAGTAGGGCACGGGTTGGAGTAGCTCAGTCTCTAATTTCTGTCCTGCATCTCTTAGGGGTCGATTGGTAGGGTGTATAAGAATAGTACGGAATAAGGTGTATTAACAATGCATAGGTTAGTAATGTAAGGATTAATTATGCAGATATTATTTCTTATTTATTGTTTGGTGTGGTGTATTATAAATTATAATGCATTGCATAATTTTTAAGAAAAATAGTTGTTTACAAAAATGCCCTCCATATTCGCTAGCTTTAAGGGACTTTAAGGACAATTTTGTCTTTAACCATACTAATGCATGCATTAACAGCCTTGGTATTACTAATGGCATGATTTTCTTTGCATTACTTATATACTGGTTAATACCAAGTATGATGTATAACTAATACAAGCATGTGTTATACACAATTTTAAAAATGTACCAAATAAAGTACTAGTAATGTACAGAGTTAATGCTTGCATTATTTTTTCATACCTCCTAGCAAACAAACCCTTAGTCTTCATTGCACAACTTTCCCATGTGCTTATTTTGTATATAGAACCAAATTAATACTAAGTACGAATAATTGAGTGTTGAACTCCTCTGAATGCCTATATAATATCCATATATTTTGACCAATATGACTTCTTCTTCTTCTTTTTTTTTTTTTTTTTTTTTAATTTGGTTACTTGTAATGCTTAGGTGTAACGTAACGCCCAGAAGTAGGCACTGCTATCAACTTTTTATATTCTCTCTTTTATCTTTTCCATGTTCCTTTCTAAAAAAAAATATTTTTTGTTTCGTGATTAAAATGAATAAAGTATAACATATATAGGTTTTCATTCTTTTTTTCATAGCAATAACTGTAATTTCTTGTCATCGGAAAAAAATAATAGAAAGTAACTTTAAAAGTTTGTCCGTACCAGGACATTAATGAAACATACAATGCTATAGAGTATTGACAAATTAATTTTGTCCCTCATTTCTAAGAAAATAAATCCCTACTACAGTAAACCAGATTAATTAAATAATTTGTTGCAAATAGTGGACAAGGTGACAAAGCAACATATATATAAATGTTTCTTTTTCTCGTAACATGCATGAACACACTATTATTATAATAGTACATTAGTACTATACTATTGAATGTAATAAACTTGCTCTACTTTCTTTTTCACCAATTTATGGTATACTAGAAGCTTGCCATCATCAAAAGATAAACTGAAGAAAAAAGGAGTTGGGCTTGATCGTCTAAATTAAGTATAGTGTTTCACAATAATGTCTCGAACCATAATGAATGACAAAACAGACCTTTCCCCACATATAGAGCTATGCTTTTAAACGTGATCATTGCTACTTTCCTTTCAATTGTCTCTTTAGGTCACCCTCATTGAACAAAAATACATAATAAATTAATAAATTCATCAAAGAAAGAATTAGATTTATATCGAAAATGCTTGGTTTTTGTTTGTGGACTTTTTTTTGGACAAATAAGTGAGAGATTCTTTTTTAATTGAGATAAATCTCAATTCTTTATATTATTCAATTTTTTAAAATGGGACATAGCAATTAGTTTAATTATCATTTCTCTTTCCCAACTAGTACATATTTTGAAGTATTTAAGTCTCTTTAAAGGTCTTCTATCTCAAACCCAACTTAATTTGTACTCTCTAATGCTTTTGCAATGGCTAGAATTTATCCTATGACATCTTCTTCTTCTTCTTGTTCTTCCTCAAACTCATACATGACATCAAAAAGAGAAACATTTACTTTATGGATGAAATCTCTAGTCTTCCATGGAAATGGCTGCACTGTTTTTGATTCAAATGGTCGAATTGTTTACAGAATTGACAACTACAACAAAAAATCTAGCAGTGAAGTTCATCTCATGGATCTACAGGGGAAAGTTCTCTTTTCTCTACGTAAAAAGGTACAAATAAAATAGGGCCTTTTCACTTTTAGCCCGCGCCAGAAAATATTTATATTCTGTAGTCGAAAAAGTGCATAAAGTTTGTATAATTTTTGAATATAACATACATAATAAAACTATATATTTTTTCGGCTATTATTTTGATAGCGGCTATACAATGTTATTTTTCCTATATTAACCTAAAAATATCATGATGAATATTCAAAGTAACCTAATTTATGCTTACTAATTGAATGTTTTTACTATTCTTTTCAGAAATTCTCACTTTGCGGACATTGGAATGGCTATAAGATGGATGAGGAAATACCATGTTTTGAAGTAAGAAAAAATGGACATGTACTCTGGGGAGAGTTAAAATACGACGTTATTTTTGGGTGTGATATTGCTGATTCAGACAGCTATAGGATTGTTGCTTTACCAGGCAAACCAGGCTTCAAAATTGTCAGCATAGATAACAGACTTATTGCAGAGGTTCGTTATAACTTTTCCTTTTTATTAGTTGAAGCAAATATGAAAGAGAAGAGTTTATTAACTTCAATACCCTAATCCAGAACTTACACATAAAAGATAATTACAATACAAATTTCACAGTTACAACTTTCAATTTTACGTCTTCTCACAACAATATATAGACGCAACTGGGGGCGAAGCTACGTTGGGTTAAGGGTGATCAATTGACCATCCTTCGTCGAAATTATATTGTATATATAGGTATAATATTAGGGTTTAGAGGTATAGAACATAATTGACCACCCTTCATTGAAAAATTACATTGTATATATAGGTAAAATATTAGGGTTTAGAGGTATATAACATAATTGACCACCCTTCGTTGAAAAATTACATTGTATATATAAGTAAAATATTAGGTTTTAGAGGTATATAACATATAACATCCTTTATCAGGGAATTTTTTTTTTCTTTTCTTTCAAGTTTGAACACATTTGAACAAATTTCTGGCTTCGACAAGGACGCAACATAACTATTGCTTTTACGTCTAAATTCAAGTGGATTTTTAACAATGTCGGTAATCTTCGGTTTTTAATTTGCAGGTAAAGCAAAAGCAATCATCTTCAAATTCAGCAGTTCAATTTGGGGAAGATGTATTAAGTCTAGTGGTGGAGCCACACGTTGATCACTCACTAGTCATGGCTCTTGCGACTGTTTATGGTTTGATCCAACATATGCTGTGAATACCATGATTTTCCACAGTAAGAGAGTTTTTTTATTTTTTTTGCCTGAATATAAGCGGATGTACGTTTTTCTTCTTCTTTATTACTTCAAAAATTCTTTACAAATGTAACTAGGAGGATGTGTATAGTTTATTGATTCAGAAACCATTTTGCTATGGTTTTTTTCTTTCTTTTTTTGTTTAATAGAAAATAGTATCTCCTTGTTGATTGTGTAAGGTTGAACATCTTTGCAGATCTTTGACTGGTCCATGAAACACCAATTATTTCAATACGACCAGTTGTTAATGTTGAAGTGTTTGACCACATTTGAAAGCTTAAACTATTAGCAAATTGACTTTTATTTCCTTCTACGTGCAAGTTTTGTTCTTTTTCGTGGCCCATCCATGTAAAAAAGATTTATAATAGGTGGCGGTAAAATTCTAATACATGACCTCTTGCTTGATTTGATACCATAATAAGAAATGTATATTGGACTTAACTTAATTTAGGTAGCCAGCTCATGAAGGCGATGATTGTCCAAAACTATAAGACAACTGCTTTCCAAGACAAAACTAAAATAGTGAAGTGAGGTGATTCTTGAAGTGAATTTGGAAATATAGATATTTTTGAATTACATTCGTTGTTATCAAATAAATATTAATTCTAAATACTAATCTCTTAGAGGATCTCTAAACATATATTCCTCGAACTACGCCCCTGTTATATATGGAGTTCGCAAATCGGAAGGTATGACAATGAATTGGCACTTGCCATAATCACATGTCACAGGTCAGCAAATCAGAGAAATGCGATCCTTTTTAATTTTCAGAGAGAGAGAGAGAGAGAACATGTACGTGAGATGAAGGAAGAACACCGAGAAAATTGTCACCAAATTGCATGCCATATAAGAAAATCTTAAACATTTACGGCGAGTTTAAGTTGTTTGTAAGCATTAACTAATAATTTGGTAAAAATTTTAAATTTTTTGATAATAAAAAAAAAAAAAGTCTATAACGCAACATAGCTTTTGTTTTTAGTCGTAGTGTTGATAGGTTTGACAATCTAATCAAGCGGTTGCCATTCATTTACCACGATGGTGCTAAAATGTGTAGCGATAGTTGATGAATCTAGTGCAAGGTAATCGAAAAATCATCAAGAAATCATGAACGAAGCACAAGAATTCAAGAGCTAGAGAAAGGGTTCGAGAGAACTCAGGGAGCAGGAGCGGATCCAGTGTAGCGGTGCCAGCTGATTCAATTAAACTCAATACTTTCGATGTGGAACATAAATTTATATGTAAAAAATATTTAAAATAGGAACAAATAGTAGATATGAACCCATAACTTTAACAATATAATGCATTTAATACTAAATTTTTTAGACGTTGAACCCATAAAATTCAAATTCTGGATTTCGAGAGAGCATAAGACTTGCTCCCAAAAATGAAACACAAAAAAGAACAGTCTGTAAAAAGAGCTAAACTTATAACATTGTGATTAGACCCTAAACTAGTCTCTAAATTTCAAAAAGACACGAGTTCAGGCTTGAAAGCGGCTATTAACACCACTTGGAACAAGTTCAGGAGTAATACAGCCTCACAAAATTTCAATGTCTTTTCTGAAAATTAGGAACTAGTTTTAGGAATCTTTATGCATTCTCCTTTTAGTAATTGTTAATGCCACATCGAAGAATTGAGTGAGCTTCGTGGGCTGAAAGGTGATTAGGTGAATTGAATTGGGCCGTCTTGGTATATTGAGCTAAGGGATGCACATCGATTTTTTTACGTACATATACACTATTGGAAACTTCATTATCCTCCCTACTCAAGTTTCAATTTAATTACCTCCTATATACAAATTTACCAATTATATATACTTTAGGAATTAAATGAGTATCCATTTATATTAAGAATCAATTATTTCACATCCTTATTCTCTCTCTCTCTCTCTCTCTCTCTCTCTCTCTCTCTCTCTCTCTCTCTCTCTCTCTCTCTCTCTCTCTCTCTCCACATCTCTCTCTATCTCTCAATTTCTAATTCCAGTAATGTAGAGCAAAGGAAAAGAGAGCAGCAATTCCACAATTGACAACCATTAAAAAGTTTTGAAGCTTTGAATTCGAATTTGGGTTTTCAAAAAATATTATTTGTTTGAATTGGGTGTTGTTGCAAATAATTGAGATTTCTCTCCACGTCTCTCTCTATCTCTATATCCGTAATTCCAGTAGTGTAAAGCAAAGAAAAAGAGACCAGCATTTTCACCATCGACAACCATTAAAAAGCTTTGAAGCTTTGAATTCGAATTTGGGTTTTTAAAAATCATTATTTGTTTGGATTGGGTGTTGTTGCAAACAATAGGGAATATTATTTAGAGTTTATATCTCAATTTTTAGGGTGTTTTGGTGAAGATTAGACTTGATTTTGGTTTAATTTCAGATTGAAACTCGAAGAAGAAGAAGAAGAAGAAGAAGAAGAAGAAGAAGAAGAAGATATGACATACATTATACTGCAGAAATTGTAGTAAAATTGTAGAAAAATTATATTCTGTTTTTTATATATTTATTTTTTTATTTAAATATTGTATGAAAGTTGAACAATATTGTATAAAAATTATATTTAAATTGTATGCTATTGTAGTCACTAGTCTTTTGATACGCGCGTTGCGCGTGTACCCGATCTAAATGAGTAATATTATATAAAGATTATATTTTGAATTATGTTTGAGTATTTATAAATAAAAGTATAAGTTTGTGAAAATACGAAATATTAGTTCTATATACCTACTGAATAAAGAGAAGAAATTTCTACCTAAAAGTTCCCAATCGTCGAATTTTAAAAATATAATTCAATATACAAATATTGAAAAAGTTTAAGAGAATTTCAATGATCATCATCTATAAAATGAATATTTGTTCGAAAGTTTGGTTGTTGTTGGGGGTGGGGG